AGGGGCATAGCCTCTAGGACTAAAGCCTGGATCATAGTATTTTCTGGCTATTTATTAAAGTCTTTTCTAAATGGCAGGGGTGAAGTACAGATGGGTGAGAACTTCACTGCTTAACTATCTCAGGGACCATCTTTGTCTGCATCTGGCCTCCCTGTTTACCGACGTATCTCAGCAAGGCATCTGGTGAGGTCCCAACAGCCCTCCTCTGGGACTAGGTTTTGGCTTCATTTCCCTTTACACCATGCTTTAGCGAGACTTCCTCCAGAACAAACAATCCTTTGGCCTGTCAGAGTTCAAAGTTCCTGGAGTTCCAAGAGGTAAATTTAATTTAAGATGTATCACATCCCACAGTGTACTGGTTCTTGTTACGTCTTAACATCAAGTTTCCACTTATCTGACCAAGACCTGGTCAGACTCTGTCATGGGTCCAGTGGCTCTCTGGCTGCCTGCTATATTCTGCCGAACTTGCCTGGCTATAACACTAGAAATTCTGTCCCTGAAACAGGAAATTTCTTCCCTTTCACTTGCTTAATCACTGCCCACAAGCTCAAGGGACACTTCCTCCAGAAGGTCCCCACCCAGGACCCAGACGGCTGTGCTGGTGGAAGCTCTTGGGGCCCCCTGTATTCGGTATCCAGTGCCAAACATTGTCACACATGTATGTTAGATCGTTAGCTGTCTCTTGTACACTGTGGTCAGCTCAGAAAGGCAGAGTCTGTGTCCACCCTTCCCTGTGGTCTCTCCCCCACCTGGAGTTTACTTTACTTGGGCTGATGGGGCAAGGGGTGGAAAGCAGGGCATAGCCCTGCCACCCGAGAAGTGCCCAGAAATGAGGACCCCTCGATGCAGCCCTTGCCCACCTCACCTTCGCTGGAGGAGCACTGGTCCCTGTGTCACTGACTGTGGTCGGAGTGCTGACGTCCTCCTAAAATTCACAAGTTGGACTCTGACCCCCAGAGTGACGGTGTCAGCTGCTGAGACCCCAGGGAGGTGACTGGGTCATGAGAGCAGAGACCATTTCCATGAATGAGATTAGCACCTTATAAAAGAGGCCTGAGAGACCCCTCACCACTTCCCCAGGGGAGGACACAACCAGAGGGGACTCCCATGAGCCAGGAAATACACCCTCCCCGGGGGTCGCATGTGCCAGGGCCCTGATCTCAAACATGTGGCCTCCAGAACCATGAGAATCTCCTTCCTGTTGTTTCTAGGCCGCCCTGGTGAAGTGGCTTGTAAGGACAGCCCAAACAAACTGAGACACCACCCCACCCAGGGCAAACCCAGCCTAGAGAATGCCTGGCCAGGACTGCACCAACTTGACCTTGAGGTTGTCTTTGCACAGAACTCTCTGAGGGAGCAGAGACTTGTCTCCGCCACTCACACCTCCATCTCAAGACACCCCGACACTGGCAGGTACCTTGGAGCCTGCTGACGGCCTTCTCAGAAAGTGGCAGAGCACCATATGGCCCTGGAACCACACGGCCCTGGCACACAGAACCTGGCCCCAGAAGGGACTCAGAAAACAAAGTAGGATGAGGCTGTGGCTCATGGTCACAGGAGGCAGCAGGGCACAGGGTACCCTCTAGGCCCATCACTGGGCCCTCTGATGAGCAGCTGTCACTTGTGGTTTTCAGACTTTTGGCTTTTGTGCAGTTGGCATTAAGGTAGTGAGGACAGGGCCTGCCTTGTTGACCAGAGGCCTGGTTGACCAACAAATGGTTAGGGCAACTACCTCCCGCCCTGAGCCTGCTTGGAGGAGAGATACCTACCCGAGGGCTCTGCGGGGCAAAGGAGGTCTTGTGAACCAAGCACTTGTGGCTGCTCTGATCCCTAGTGGGCCCCAGACAGGCTACCTTCCCTCCCCCTGAGGCTGGGGCAGCTGTGGTGTCATTCATGGGTCTGCCCAGCAGGGGCCCTCAGTACTTTATGCCATCCCTGGAAATCCCTGGCCAGGGGCCACCGTTATACAAACAGAGAACCCTTTGGGGCAGGGGCCCAGCTCCAAGTAGCTCTCAGAGCTCAGGCTTGCACTCCCCCCCCCCACCCAGACCCTAGATGATGACCCTAAGTTCTTTGTGTCCCGGGGAAGAGAAGAAAGGTCCAGAGCTCTGTCAACTGGGCAGAGATGCCTCAGGAGACAAGCCTGGGGTGAACACAGAGCCCACACATGGGAGGCCCCTGAAGCTCTGCCTAGAGCACTTGCCCATCTGAGGCACTGGCCTCATCAGGTGCTTCCGAGCAGCTCTGGAGGCCATACCTTTCAGGTCCAGCCTCGGCAGCAGTGTGGCCTTAGACGGCTGCTGCTGACCCTGCCGAGCCTCAGCAGCAGCTCATCCTACCAGCCGCAAATGTTGACTGCAGCTGCGGTTGATTCTCCTGCCCACAGGTCTTTCCCTGAACCCGTGGGTGCCGCTTCACCTCACACAAGCCAGACAGGAGTGGCTTCTGACTTGGGCTGGGCGGCAGTTTTACTCCCCAGTGTTTACTTTGTAGAAACTGCTCCAGGCCACCTTCCACTGTGACAGGAGCCCCAGATCCAGCTCAGACCAGCATGCAAGATCACACCCACTAGGTGACTAGGAAGATTGACATGACTCGGGGTGACTGGCCGGGGTTACATTTTCATGTCCTGCTGAAACCAAGCTATGATCCTAGACATGAGCAAGTGGCCCAGGAAAGGGAGAAGCACCCTCTCCTATCACTGATGCTCTTCACGTTCAAACAGGGTCCTTCTACTTCCGCCTCGGCGCTCCTAGCATTGAACTAGTTTACTGAGCACTTCCCACCGCCAGGGCCTTGGGTAGCTGCCAAGGGTACCATGGGTAGGGAAGGAGATGGCAGGTGGAGATGAGGGCCTGCAGGGAAGCGTATGGTTAAAAAGGTGAATGTACATCCATGCGGGGAGCACACTTGTAATCCCAGCATTCGGGAGGCTGAGGCAAGAGGATTGCCAGGAGTTGAAGGTCAGCCTACGTTACATAGTGAGTGTCTAAAAAGAGAAAAACCTGTCCATCCAGCTAAGGGGTCCTCATGAGATAAGGTCACAGGGATAACGACAGGGACTAGCCCTCTTGGCTTTGGCCTTGGCTTTGGTGAAGATGCCTTCCTGGTCCTCCATAGCCTCTTTCCAGAGTTTTTCCCCCCATGCCTTCTCCAGGGAGGATTAAAACTGTTGGGTCTCGAACAGCACCAGGAGCCCGCCTCTCTCCAAAAGCCAAAGGCCTCTATGTGCTGAGTTTTGCAACAAAAGTTTGAAATCAGTAATGAAGTACACGGGGCCTGCTAAAAACAGTATGAAGTTGGGTTATTTTACACCCAGAGAAAGTGTAAGGCAGCTTTGGTTGGATTTGCCAGTGAGACCTCTCAATCCTATTTCGAGGCTCAGTTCCCCATAAACCTCTTCAGAAGCCAGACGTCCTCTCGGTGCCCAGTGGGGCCATGTGACAAGCTAGAAGGTGCCCAGGATGAGAGAGGACTTACTCAGGGCCCCTTCTGGCCAGACAGGTCCTGCCCTGGGGACCTGCTTGGGGGGCAGTGACAGGTCACCAATACTGGCATCCCGGAAGAGGCTCACTGGGGCACAGGTCCCTTTCCGACACGGCCAGCTCATGGACACGGATTGCTGCTTTTCGAAAATAAATTCAAGAATTTACTTCTCCCTGCAGGAATGGGAAGGAAAAGAGCCATGCAGAGAGATCCAGGGCAGAGCCTGCCTGGTGGTGGCTGGGGTGAAGCGCTGAGGTGGTGGGGGCAGCACAGAGCAGTAATACTGTGAACACCAGACAGAAAGCTCCTGGAGTATAAGTCTTATTAAAAATAAAGACCAAAAAGAATTCTTAAATTGTGACACACGAAAAAACAACAACAGAAAAAAGTCAAAGGCCATGGGGATGGAGGCAAAAGGGTCGCTCACCCGCACCAGTGCTGGCAACCTCTGGCTGTGCCCCGTTCGGCTCCGCGGAGTCATTGCAAACCCGCCCAGCCTTGGGCGACTTCTGCCTCCCCCAGACGCGCAACCCGCAGACCAAGCCAAGCGGAAGGTGGACGCCCGCCGGGCTGCGACCACGCAGGGGAAACGGGTCTGGGGTCAGCGCTGAACTCCTCCGGTTCCCTGACTGCAGTTGCGTTGGGACCGTCCCACCCTGAGCCAGAACGCGGAGATTGCACGCTTTGAAGCACCCAGCGGAAAGACTGAGACTCAGCTTGAGTTAAAGCCATGGTGAGCCCAGGGTGTCGCCCTTGGGAGGTTTCGGACCTGGCCCGCACGGCTGTCATTCTTAAGGAATGGTGATCCCTTGAGAGGCGTGCTGAACTGAGAAGAACTTCGCCAAAGAGGCTGGATCCCACTCCCCGATGGTGTGATAACTCGGACCCCGGAATAAAATCCAAGGAAGCCAGAAATTAAAATTTAGGGAGCAAAGGCTTTATTTTAAGCCAGGGCTGGTGACACAGTCTCCAGGAGCCAATTTGGAGACTGCGCGCCTCACAGCTGGGGAATTAGGCTTTTAAAGCTGAAAACCACAGGAGTCTTGTAATGGCTGACACAGTTAGGTAGCATCTGGGCTTTACAGAACTTCTGTAATTTCCTTGAAGTTAAGCATTTCTTAAAAGAACAGCACATTTTATTACAGATAGCCGGATGAGGGGTAGGGGAGGCTTTCTCAGGAAATTGAAACTTAACCTAGAAAGATAGGAAGGGAAGCGGGGTGCTGAGAGGCGCATATAAAACAGAAATGAGGCACAATGGTTAAAACTAGGTTACAACAGATGGAAAGTGGGACCCCAGAGTGGGACGCTGGAGTCGGACTGCGGTCCCCAGCTCCGCAGGTCCGCGCGCGCCTTGGACGAGCTTGGGAAGACGGCCGCAGCGCTCCGCCGGGCTCTCCGGAGCTGGGGGAGGGGAGGGGGCTTGGGGGAGGGGAAAGAAGGGAGGTTGGGGGCGGGGCAAGCGCTTGGGGCTCCGCCCTCCTCTGCCCGCCGCGCTCCGGCTCTTAACCCGCGCGCCAGGGCGCCCCGGCCACTGGGCTCTTCGCTGCGAGCCAGTGGTCATCGCGGAGCCGCAGCGCGCGCGTCCCGTCCCGAGGCCGTCGCCAGCTCGCCAGCATGGCCCCCGCAGCGGCTTCGGGGGGCAGCACCCTGCCCAGTGGCTTCTCGGTCTTCACTACCTTCCCCGACTTGCTCTTCATCTTTGAGTTTGTGAGTGGCTAGCGCACCCCGCGCGGGGAGCCGGTGGAGGGGACGGGATGGGCCGCGCGAGCGGCGCGCCCGCCGGGAGCGTCCAAGTAGCCCGGTTGGGGAGAGTTCGCCCCGCCTCCCGGGGTGCCGGGGTCCCTTTCTGGACAATGACAGTGCGGGGGAAACAGTCTCTTGGGTGGAAAAACCCAATTCGCATCCCGGTCTGATGGAAGCGGCATCCGCTCTGCGCACTGGTGTCCCCGCCGGTGTCCCGGCTGCGCGCTCCTCTACCCGCTTCGCCCCTGCGGTGCCCAGAGGCACAGGTCCGTGCTGCGCGCTCCTCTACCCGCTTCGCCCCTGCGGTGCCCAGAGGCACAGGTCCGTGCTGCGCGCGCTGGAGGGCGAAGTCCTTGCCAAGTGCTCAACTTTGTCCTGGGAACGGGCTTTTGTGTTGTTGTTGTTAAACAAAGAATCGACAAACAGTCTTGCTGAGTGAGATTTAGAGATTAAGGATTGAATCTGGATTGTTCTATTCTTAAAGTTTCTGGCGAGTGAAATGTACTTGCCACAGGTTTGACTGGGAAATAAGAAAATAAGACTCGCCATCTGTTCCATGCTCTGCCTTGTAAAGGGGAGGGAAGCGCAAAGGGAATCAGGGAGGGCGTTCTCCTGCCTCGGCTGACCTTGAGCAGGTGAGAAGTGTCATCACAGGAGCTTGGTGCCTCCTACGCTGGAGCCACCTGGGGTTCAGGGGCAGCGGGGCACTTCCGCACAATGGGCTGTTAGTAAAGTGCTCCAACTATGTGTGGAGGCTTCAGATCTCACACGGTCTCGGCTCCCCAGGGGCCATGGATACTGACCTTTATTTATTCCCCGGGTGTAACTTGTCCCAGGGGATACCTCTCCCTGTGCACACCCACCCACCCAGGGCACAAGAGGCAGCACTCAGAGCTGGCTGGAAAAGAAAATGTGGAAAACCGAGGGCCCCGGATATTTTCTTCTCTGATGGGGGTGGCGTGAACCTCAGTGAGGACAGGTTTGGGTTTGGGTGGAAGGGACGACCTGGGGAGGCACAGTGATCTGCGTGGTTGAATTTGTGGAGTTCACTTGAACCGAAATCCGGGTGTATTCAGAGTGACTCCAAGTCCTGGTTACAACCAGAATCATAGAGGTGACCTTTAGAAGAAACTGCGGAGTCCACCACCACTACTCAGGGGCTGGAAGTGGGATGGGGGGCTTGGCTGAGGCCACCTCCTCTTTAGTTAGCTCTCCAGTCTCACGAGTTCCTTCTGTGTTTAAGGCTGTGGGTCAAACCTGGAACAGCGCCAGCTGAGTGTGTGTGACCCAGGCACATGGGTGGCCCTGGTGCAGGCTCCCTCCCAGGGCACTGGCCCATGTAGGGAGTGCCCAATGGGTCATTTTTGCCTCCAATGGCTCCTCGGGGTGCTTCTCTTTATCATCTCTAAGCCTATTTGGCCAAGATTGGATTTCTGAAAATCAGGCTCTGGGGAAAAGTTGTGTATAGTTCCTTCAGAGCCAGATCATAGTGACCAAAAGCTTCATGATGAGATTTGGTCAGGCGGAGAGGAAAATCTTGGTGTCCCTTAAATTGCCCGGTGAGCAGTTTACTCTGTCTTTGGAGCTGCTTAGGTGTCACACCAAGAACCACAAGAGAGGTGGTGGTTGGACTTAGAATTCTGTGCAACCTTCCCCTCTCTGTCTCCTCACCCCGTTCCCTTCCTCCCTCCCTCCTTCAGTACCCTCAGGGGGCTGAGGTCAGGGGATGGCAGGTGGCATGTTCCCCGGAGAAGGGACACCCTCCCAGAGCGCTTTCCGCCTCCTCTTAGCTCAGGTTGGGGAGCAAGTGGCCCTGAGGGTAGGAACAGCCCATTCAGGCAGGACGATCTAATCTGCAGATCTGCGCTAAGGGGACCCTCCAGCCCCAACCATAGCCATATGGGTGCAGAAAGAGGTCAGGATGTGAAAAAAAAAATCTCTGCACCGTCTGTTAAGTGAAAATTACTCCTCTCTCATGATTTTGTAACCCATAGTCATAGGCATTTCTAGAAGCAGTAATTTCCCTTTACTTTCCATTTCCCTCTTTGGTTTTAGAAATCAGTTCTCTTTCACTTCAGTTGCTGATCCTCTGCCCTGCAGCCCTGTGTCACTTCCCAAGAACTTCTGGCTGTCTCTCTTGTCATCTGTGAATCTTTCTGGAGATGAGAGGTGGCTGACAGGGTGCCTGGCAGGGATAGGAGCACGCAGACCCCCTTTCCCTCTGTGCAGATTGCACGTAGGAAGCCACATGGGTGTCGATGTGTGTAAGGACTGGAATTAAAGGGCTGGAAGAGACTGGGGAGGGCTTTCGAAAATTATGTAATATTTCAACTCAATAAACAGCAAGGCGGTGGCTAGAGATTTAGCTCTGTGGTATAAGCCCCTGCCTGACAAGTGTGAGGTCATGAGTTTGATCCCCAGTACCAATAAAATAAAATCTTGCAATTATGTGAACACAAAAATTTTTAAAAAAACAGCGAGGCAAGCGAACTGACTTGAACAGAAATTTTCCTAAAGAAATATAAATGGGCAATGAAAAACAGGAAAAGATGCTCAACTGCATGAGTTCTCAAGGAAAAGATGTCAAAACCACATTGAGATACCACTCGACAACCTACATCTATTATTTTAAAAATAGGTCCAGGAGCAAAACCTGCAATAAAAGTTTAAAACAAAACAAAAGGAAAATAATAAGTATAGCTGGGCACTGTGCATTAATGGCAGAATATAAAATAGTTTGGCTGCTGGGAAATAGTCGGGTGATTCCTCAGAAAAACAGCTCCACAAACACTGCGGGTCCCTCCCAGGGACCTGCCGATCTCAAAACCGGGACTCAAATGTGAGCGCGCCAGTGCATGCACTTTATTAGGTACCACATAATTATTGTCCTGCTTTGTCCAGGTTTCACATTTTGCCTTATTTGCTTTTTATTATTCAGGTGATAATGAGTGCCCTGGGTACCCCACCCTGAGGAAAGTCCTCAGTTAAAATAATGCTTGCCACACACATGGGTGCTTTAGGCTTTGCCACACCCCCAGCTACAAGGAAGCTGCCCCATGTATTTTCACAGTTCATGAACATTTCATCTCATTGTATGGATCCTTTGCCACAAGCCACATGACATTGTTGATTTTGAGCTGTTGACACTTTTCCGCCCTGCTGTAGGTGGACATGTTAGCTGTTTCTGACTTGTCATGTTTAGCTGTTTGCAGAGAATGGCCGGGAACACTTTTGCCATTGCTGCTGGAAATTTCTCCCGGGAAGATTTAGCTGTCTGGTCACAGAGTATACGCATCTGTCACTGGTTATACTAATACACGTATCTCAGCGGTGGATTTACCAGGAAGCTGATAAACTTGAATCAAACTCAAGACCACCGCTGCCTAATTTTGTAGTACTTTAAAAGAAGTTCCTCAAACTAAATCAATAAGCTTCAGGCTGACCCCGAACCCTGCCAATCCTCACCAGCAGTGTGTGAAAGTCCTCACTGTCCCGCTATACTAGGTAACATCAAAAACGGTCATTTTCTGCTCATCCCATGGGTGTGAAATACTTCATTACTTTTTAATTCCGTAATGCATCAAGTAGATGATAACTCCCAGCTCACTTTCTCATGTCTGAGCTCCCAGTAGCCTGGAAATTCAGATGGCCAGGGCCAACAGGGTGGTACCCGAACCACTCCCATGGCAGAGACACTGCCACTGGGCAGGTCAGGGAGGTGCTTGCAGGTGGGGCCTGACAGCCTCACCAGGGATCAGTCCCCCTGTGCTGACCTCTGAAAGCCTCACAGGAAGAGGACAGCAGGCCCAGCTCCTCAGTGACCCTACCTTTCTGAGCACCTGCAGGCAGTGGGGTCACAACTCTTGAAAACCCAAGGAGTAAAGTGTCAGCTTCTGTCTCTTTCACTGATAGCTCAACCCAGAGCTCTGCTTCTGATCACTTACCCTCCTGCAAAAAAGAAAACAAAAATTCCACCCAATGAGAGACTTTTACTTTTATAGCCACAATACCTGTTCCTCCTTCCCGCCCTTCAAAGTCAGAGCTTTGTGACTCTCTGTCCACTATTCCCAAGAAAGGAGGTTAACATGGGATGCTGTCTGTCTCATCTTGGACCAAGACCCGGGATGCAACTTGTCCTATGGAGACCCTCGAGCTACCAGGATGCCGAGGGCCTGGAGACACAGATCCTTCACCCATCCCTCCTCCTAGCAGATGGGCAGCCCAGGGAAGGGTGGTTGGGAATTAAGAGAAAACATTTTTTGGATAAGAGTGTGATAGCAATCCAGGGGTGGTTGTGTCCCCCCTCTCACATGGGTGCCATAGGAACATGGTAAAGGGGGTACAGTTCCTGGTAGGGCACGTAATCAGGATGGAAATGGGAGGGCAAAGCCCTCTGGAATTGGCTTGGGTTTTTGATTTCTACAGTGAACTGGAGTTAAAATGCGATCTTTCATGACTTTTATTATTTGACAGTGGTCAGACAAGTCCCAGATTTTCACTTAGCTGAGGAAGAGCCGGTCTCACAGAGTCAAGATTGGACAGAGTTTTCTGCTGAGTGGTCCACATTGAGAAGGGAGCCTGTCTACTAGGAGACAAGAGATGGAAAATTACAGGAACCTAGTTCTCAGGGCTGGGTGGAAACTCAGATTCAGAGGAGTAACTTGCCCAGGCCACATGGTTCCCAAGTCACCTACAGGTCCCCAGCAGCAAAAGCGGGTCTATCCCAGCTGGGATTCTGTGTTCACCCAGACACCCATGGAGAGATTTTTCCTACAGCAGAGATGATATTGAGCAGACAGCCTGGGCCACTGGCAGCCACTGGGCAGGGCTTTGGTCCCTTCTGTCCCTCCAGGGAATGAAGGAGCAGCTCAGAGCCACTGGGCAGCTCATGACTTCCTCGCCTCCCTTCTTGTCAAAAACACACCCTGTAGGTTCTTAATCACCAGATTCAAGAATCTGCATTT